CCCCCCCCCCCCCCCGTAGTGTCCATCACTGGACCAGGACAACCTTGGGGGACATTGAAAGGAACTGTGCGGATTTCGCATGTAATTCTTGCATGGTCCTTATACCGGATCTCTGGGGATCTTTATAATTAAAGTGCGTAGGTAAGGGAAATGAGAATTGTTTGCTGGTTATGGGGTTGAGCAGTATAAATAAATAAAATACATGCATACTCAATAACATTGGTGAACAAATACTCAAAAATTATATAAATTCTTCCATAAATTCTTATTTTCCGTTCATTTTTTATACAATTTTTAGACATTAAAGCGGAAGGAGTTGCGCCAACATTCAAACGACGGATTGGTAGATCATGTCAGGTTAATGCTACAGTTTATTCTCACCTTCGTTATCCAATTGGGCAGTCATATTCCCCGTCCAAACTTTGCAGGAATTATGCAGGGAGTTCGCGACGACATCACCGAGGTTCGCTTTGGCTTGGCCGAAAAATTTGTTATGGTTGTCGGAAAGTTAACTGGCTTGGAAAGACGGATTGAAAGTTTGGCGTCCAGTGGTGGGGGAGATACAAGGATCAGGAGTGAAGTGCAAGAGCTGAAGAGTAAAGTTCGAGACCTCACGTACTACTGAATGTGGCAATCTACGTGAACGGAATATGACTTTAGAGCGAGAAGATCAGATCGCAATTATTGATCGCTTGCGAAGTAGGATGGATCAAATGGATGAGTCTCTTGCTCTGAATACAGCCAGAATGTGAAATTTGGAATCCCCAAGAGGTCCGCGTGCACAACAAGTTATCCACAGTTATAACGGCACTCTACTGTGGAAGATTGAAAGCTACCAGAGAAAACGGCAAGATGCCATCAGTGAGGTGAAGACGGCCTTGTACAGTCCACCTTTCTATAGCGCTCAGTATGGTTACAACATGTGTGCTAAAATTTACATGAACGGAGATGGTTTTGGAAAAGGATCGCATTTATCGTTGTTTTTTGTTGTGATGAGAGGTAAGTTGAATGATTTGTTGTTTTTCCTTAAATTTGATTTCTGGTGGATAAATTTTGTTTGTGGGAAACATCGCGTTTACGAATCCTTTTCGGTATTAATAATATCGCACCTGTTCTCCAGTTCCCCCATATCCGAATTGTTGTATTTTTCATTGTCTATAAAACGTGTGGGCCCTTTATGTTACATGTAGATGGCATGGAGAACAATGGGATTTCTAAAACAATGGAAAGTCATTGAAACATTCTGGTCACTGGATCGTGGCTGGATGCATTTTAATGTTGTGTAATGATTGTAATATACCACAAGAATGTTCTAATTTACCATTATTCAATTACTGCTTTTTTACGGCTATTAAAGGTGATTATGATGCTCTCCAAACCTGGCCATTTCAAGAAAAGATTACGATGGTATTGATGGATCAAGGCAATGGAGATCATATATTTGATGCCTTTCATTCAGATCCTCAGAGTTCTTTGTTTCAACGCCCAAAGTCCGATATGAATATCGCTTCAGGTTCCCCGCTCTTTATGCCTCTTGATAGCTTGAATAACCGTCAATACATCAAGGATGATGTGATGTTTATTAAGATTATCGTCGACTGAACCTACTGATGCTGGGGTCATCTATTTGGCACAATTGCATGGAACAGGGTTAAAAATTGGCGAGATTTTATGCACTCACTGCTACCACTACTACTGCTGTCGATGTTGCTGTTGCTGCTACAGCTGCAGTAACTCTACCGTATTTCACTAATGTACATTTCTACATTTTTAAACTTGGTATATATTATCGAAATCACTAGGAGTGGTAAATTGATCTCTCGAGACCTTTGCAAACCCGGACGTTTACCCCGTGTACCACGTGATGAACGTTTTGGACGCCTCGTGACCGCTTTTGAACTCCAACGAAGTTCATAAAGAATTCACTGTATGACAGAGGGAAATTGCCTAAATGACGTTTTGATTAAGTAAACGGTAAATGGGGTTGTAAAACGAACAGTAAATGGTCAAGTATGTTTTAGAACTGGAAATCGAGGTAGCACAAACCTTATTGCCTTAGTGTGCTCGTCTACAGACATTACCAAGTATATTTATTATTGTAGTCTATAGATAGCAATCGAGTGAACAATCGCGTATTTTGCTGTTGAAGAATGTTGTAGACTGTACCTTCACATCTTGAGAATCAGAATCAAAATGTTGCGTTTAAAGTTTTCTAAAGATAATTTGCTCGATCTTAAAAGGCTTAAAAACGCCGTCATTTCCAGTTGAACATTGCTGGATGTTGAAGTTCTAAAGCATCACGAGGTACCCAAACAGTTCATCACGTGGTACATAAAAAATCCCGCGCGTGCAAATCTCTAGTAGCAAATCTCGAAGGACCAATTTACCACTCCATAGTGATTGGCATAGTATGATTAAAAATGAAAAAGTGCAGCATAAGTCTGGTAACTTAAATAACTTTTTCCAATCGGCCTTCAGTTACTATAATACCTGCTTTCGCAAAACCACGCTAATTTGTAACCTCCTCCCATGCCTTTGTACCAAATGGATGACCCACATAGACTTGCCTTGTTGTGTTGTGTTGTGTTGAAAAATGGCAAGACAAGTCATTCCTGAAATTATATTGTGAACCAACTATATCATTTATCATTGGATGCCAAAAAACTAAAAACTAAAAAAAATCGTGCATCGTCACAGATTCCAAAGGTGTTCGTCGTATCGTCACTATCGTGGACCAAGTTGGGACGTCTGATGTAACCAAAAGTAACTATTACAGTTTGTGTATGGTCATAGAGTCCATAGGTGTCGTCTCGTGTTGTGGACCAATTTGGGACTTCTTATGTAACTAAAAACGAAGTATTATAACAGTTTGTGTATCGTCACAGAGTTTATCTTTTCGTATCGTGAACCAAGTTGGGTCTTCTGATGTGGTCAAAATCTAAATATTACAGTTTGTGTATCGTCACAGAGTTCATAGTTGTCTTATCGTATTGTGGACCAAGTTGGGACATGTGATGTGATTTAAAAACGAAGCATTACACTTTCAGAAAACCTCGCCAATTTTTAACCCCCTCCCACGCCTTCGCATCACATGGATGGCCCCAGTGTTGACAAATGTCAAGA